ACAAAAACTACAAGAAGGAAAACTCCGGGCTGGAGAGATGGCTCCGTGGTTAAGAGCATTGCCTGCTCTTCCAAAAGTCCTGAGTTCAATTCCGAGCAACCACATGGTGGCTCACAACCATCTGTAATGAGTTCTGGTGCCCTCTTCTGGCTTGCAGGCATACACACAGACAGAACATTGTATATATAATAAATAAATAAATAAATATTTAAAAAAAAAAAGAAGGAAAACTCCAACTCAAGAAAGTTGATTACATCAACAAAAAAAAAAACAGACAAGAGATGATCTCACAGCAGCAGATCCCAAAGAATGGAAAAACACACAAAATAACATCACCAACAATGAAAACTAAAATAACAAGAGATAGCAATCACTGGTCATTAATATCTTTTAATATAAATGGACTCAATTCACCTCTAAGAAGACACAGGCTATGAGATTGGATATGAAAACAGAATTCATCTTTCTTCTGCATACAAGAAACACACCTCAACCTCAAAGATGAACATTGCCTCAGAGTAAAAAGTTGGAAAAAAATTTTCCAATAAAATGGACCTATTACAAGCCAGTATTGCTATCCTAATATCTAATAAAATAAACTTCAAACTAAAATCAATCAAAAGAGACAAAGAAGGACATTTCATGTTAATGACAGGGAAAATCTGTCAAGAAGAAATCTCAATCCTGAACATCTATATCCCTAATACAAGGGCACCCTCATATGTAAAAGAAACACTTCCACAGCGTAAATCATATATTAAACCCCACACACAAATAGTGGGAGACTTCAACACTCCACTCTCACCAATGGACAGGTCAGTCAGACAAAAAATTAACAGAAAAATAAAGGCACTAACTCAATTGGACTTAAGAGACATCTATGGAATATTCCATCCAAACATAAAAGAATATACCTTCTTCTCAGCACCTCATGCAACCTTCTCAAAAATTGACCACATACTCAGTACCAAAACAAACCTCAACAAACAAATTCCAAAAAAAATGGAATAACCCATGTATCTTATCGGATCACTGTGGTTTAAAACTATAATTCAACAGCAATACTGCTTCCAGAAAGCCCACAAACACATGGAAACTAAACAATAATCACCAGAATCATCAATGGATCAAGGAAGAAATAAAGGGAGAAATGAAAGACTTTCTAAAATTCAATGAAAATGACCACACAACATACCCAAATTTATGGGACACAATGAAAGCAGTGTTAAAAGTTCATAGCACTAAACGCCTACATAAAGAAGCTGTAAAAATCCCACACTAATGAATTAACAGAACATTTGAAAACTTTGGAAAAAGAAGAAGCAAACTCATGTAAGAAAACTAGATGGCAGGAAATAATCAAATTGAGATCTGAAATCAACAAAATAGAAACAAAGAAAACAATAAAGAGAATAAGTAAAACAAAGAGTTGGTTCTTTGAGAAAATCAACAAAATAGACAAACCTTTATCCAAACTAACTAAAAGGCAAAGAGAGAATATCCAAATTAACAAAATCAGAAATGAAAAGGAGGACATAACAACAGATATGAAGGAAATACAGGTAATCATCAGGTTATATTTCCAAAACCTGTACTCCACAAAATTGGGAAACATAAAAGAAATGGAAAACTTTCTGGATAAATATCACTTACCAAAATTAAATCAAGACCAGATAAGCAAATTAAACAGACTTATAACTGCTGAAGAAATAGAAACAGTTGAGTTGGCTCACAGGTTGGAGCGCCGCCTGCAGTGCCCGAGGTCCCAAGTTCAATTCCCACCTGGGTAAGTAAGTGTCTGTGTGTGTGAATGTGTCTGACTGTCTGTGTGAATGTGTCTGTCTATGCTGTGTGAATGTGTCTGTCTGTGTGTGAATGTGGATATGTGTGCATAATTAATCAGAAAAAAAGTTTTTTAAAAAAAAAAGAAATAGAAAGAGTCATCAAAAGTCTCCCAACCGAAAAATCCCAGGACCAGAAGGTTTCAGCTCAGAATGCTACAAGACTTTCAAAGAACTAATACCAATACTCCTCATATTATTGCACACAATAGAAACAGAAGGAACACTGCCAAACTTTTTATGAGGCTACAATTACCCTGATACCCAAACCACAGAAAGACATTACTAAGAAAGGGAATGACAGAGCAACGTTACTCATGAACATTGATGCAAAAATACTAAGTAAAATACTAGCAAATCGAATTCAAGAACACATCAGAACCATCATCCACCATGATCAAGTCGGCTTCATCACACAGATGCAGGAATGGTTCAACATACAAAAATCTATCAATGTAATCTGCCATATAAACAAGCTGAAAAATAAAAGCCACATGATCATCTCATTAGATGCCGAAAAAGCTTTTGACAAAATACAGCATCCCTTCCTAATAAAGGTCTTGAAGAGAGCAGGGTTCTCAACTTCATATGGAAAAGCAAAAAACCCAGGATAGCCAAAAAATCTTGTACAATAAAAGAACTTCTGGAGGCATCACAATCCCTGACTTCAAACTACTACAGAGCTATAGTACTGAAAACAGCCTGGTATTGGCATAAGAACAGACAGGAGGATCTGTGGAACCAAATAGAAGACCCAGATATTAATCCACACACCTTCAAACACCTGATTTTTGACAAAGAAGCAAAAAATATCAAATGGAATAAAAAGCATATTTAATTAGAAGAATAAAAATAGATTCATATCTATCACCATGCACAAAACTCAAGTCCAAATAGATCAAAGACCTCAATATAAAGCCAACTACACTGAACCTCATAGAAGAGAAAGTGGGAAATACACTTGAACACATTGGCACAGGACCTCTTCCTAAATATAATCCAAGTACCACAGAAACTTAGAGAAACAAGTAATAAATGGGACTTCATGAAACTGAAAAGCTTCTGTAAAGCAAAGGACATGGTTAACAAGACAAAATGACGGCCTACAGACTGGGAAAAGATCTTCACCAACCCCAGATCAGACAGAGGTCTGATTTCCAAAATATACAAAGAGCTCAAGAAATTGGTCAACAAAAGAACAAAAATACATTTTAAAAAATGGAGTACAGACCTAAACAGAGACCTCTCAACAGAGGAATCTAAAATGGCTGAAAGGCACTTAAGGAAATGTTCAATATCCTTAGTCATCAGAGAAATGCAAATCAAAACAACTCTGAGATTCCATCTGGCACCTATAAGAATGGCCAAGATCAAAAACACTGATAAACCCAGGTTTATCTGCACAGAGATGGTATTGCCCACAATGAATTGGGCTCTAATACATCAGTCATCAATCAATAAAAGCCTTCAACCAACATGCCTAAAAGCCAATCTGATGGAGGCAATTTCCCTCCAAAAAAAAACTCATTTTCCTCTACTTTCATGAAAGTTGTCAAACATTAACTTTTTAATGTTTATTCCTTTTTTAGTTGTTTTTAACTGAGCTATAATTTTTTTCCACTCCCCTCCTCTTCTCTTCCTTGTATAATGCTGGACAACAAAGAAACTCCTTGAGGCATCACAATCCCTGACTTCAAACTCTACCACAGAGCTACAATTCTGAAAATAGCCAGGTATTGGCATAAACACAGAGAAGAACCAATGTAACTGTATCGAAAACTTGGATATCAATACACACACCTACAAACACCTGCTTTTTAACAAAGGAGCAAAAACAATAATTTAAGTATACATGTTTCTCTAGTTAGATAAATAGATATGAAAAGATGTAAATGAATTCACCAACTATTAAGGGAGACAAAGCCTCAGCTGAGCATTTCATCACCAAATGAAGGTTTAGTTACATCCATTCCCAGAAATAGATGGAAAGAGAAAATTCAATCAACCTAATTTTTGGAGGTCCTTGTCTCATAACATTTTGGCAGAGTTCAGCCCTTGTCCCCAATTTTTTGGGTTCATCATTATATATTTCTTACTTCTTAACCTATGGCTCTTTGCATGCATACTATGGGTTCCAGGTCAAAATTTCGTGAGTGTTTCAGCATATGGTTACTTTCTTATAACGTCTCTTTAGCTCTGTTTCTTATGTTTCCCCATTTTGACCAATTCCAATGTATTAGTTTTTCTTTACCTTACTATATTTTTATTATTATCCTATAGAAACCTAATTGTTTTCTAATTTGAAATAGAAATGGAATGGAGTCTGATAAGAGAAGTAGTGAGAGGAGCTGGAAAGAACAGTGAGAAGAAAAACCATAATCAGGGGATATCGTCTGCAGAAACTCTATTTTCAATAAAAAAGAAAGAAAGCCAATGTTCCATTGCCGCGTTTTGTAAAATTCATTGTAAGAAAATCATTTAATTTCAATTATGTTAATGTGAGCTTTTTGAGTTTGTTATTATGTGAAAATATGAGTGTGGGGTTTCTTGAATACCAGAAGACACCATCTGATTCATTGGAGCCATTGGTATAGGTAGCTATGAATTTCAAGATATGTGAATTGGATAGTGAACTCATCTACTCTGAAAAAGTCATTCATGATTTTAAATTCTGAGACATATCTTTATTGTTCCCAGTATTCTTTCTATTTATTTATCAAACTATTCCTCTCTCTCTCCAAAATTCTACTCCTCTAACTCCCAGGATGCACAGGATTCACTTTTCTTCCCCCACAGGGAAATTAGTTCCATCATCCACAAACATTCATTAACTCAACTTCAAGCTTTCTCTGTTTTCTCCTACATTCAAAGTCACACCTTCATTATGATACCAAAAGAATTACTCAGAGTTTATTTCAACTCTTATTGTGCATTAGAGAAAGTAAGGAACACAACCCCTATGCACTAATGTCCAAGAATTACGTCTTAGAGGCTAAGTAAAATATTAAGATAGAAAAGAAGTATACATGATACGTCCGTGCATCCTCGTAAGAAGAAACAATGACCATCACTAGCTGATGCATGCATCTTGCATTTTATTGAAATATGTGGGTCTGCATCAACACTACAGCTGTCGGTTACAATTTACGAGATATGTGTTCAGAAAGATGTTTTCTCCCTTAATTTTTGAAGAGAATTTCTCTCTGGCCTTAACAAAATTATGTAGCACTTGGGGACAAAGATGCATCCCAGTAGGCCTGCACTGGAAATCAGAATGGATAAGACCTCCACAACCACCATGACCTTACCCTTGGTGCTGTGGTAGACTGGGATAAATGTGACCCAGACACTGCAGAACAACAGCATGCTGAAGGTCAGCAAGTTGGCTTCATTGAATGTATCAGGAAGATTCCTGGCCAAGAAAGCCACAATGAAGCTTGCTAAGGCAAGGGAGCCATGGTATCCCAAGACACAGTAGAATGCAGTCTCTGAACCCTTGTTGCACACAATGATGATTTGACCATGCTCAGAGTGTACATCATTATCAATAAAGGGAGGAGAAAATCTAAGCCAGATTGCACAGAGAATAATTTGGATGAAAGTACAGATGGCAATGATGTAGTTGGGCGCCCCTAGAAGCAGGAAGGACCTTATCCTTTTTCCAGGGGCTGTGACTTTAAAAGCCAGCAGCACAGTCACTGTTTTGGCCAACACAGTAGAAACTGCCACAGTGAATACAACTCCAAATGTGACTTGCTGTAGGATACAGGTAGCTGAGTTGGGATGCCCAATGAAGAGCAAAGTACAGAGGAAACAAAAGATGAGTGAGATGAGCAAGATGTAGGTGAGATTTCAGTTGTTGGCCTTCACAATGGGAGTGTCATGATGCTTCACAAAGACCCCAAGAACCACAGCTGTGAATGCAGAGAGGAATAAGGCCATTAAGGCAAGAGCCATCCCCATGGGGTCTTTGTAGTTCAGAAAGACCACAGCTTTTGGAATGCACTGGTTCTGTTCTCTGTTGGCATACTGGTCCTCTGGACACCTCACACATTTATCCACATCTGATGGAGAACAAATAATATGATTGGTGCAACTTAAATCATTTATTGACAAGATATTTCAATTAATTTTGTTGAAGAAACATTGCAATATTTCATGATGTATTTGAAGGATACTGCTGCATAGCAATGCTTCCATTTCATAATATACATTTTTTTATTATTACGGGGAATGAAATAAAACAATAACTATATTTCCAATTTAACTATTTGCTGATGATGCCATTTGTTATGTTATAAGAAAGCACTGCTGTGGGATATACTCTTGTACTCTGTAAAGATTTGTCCCTTGAATTGGTTTAATAAAACACTGACTGGTCAAGTAGCCAGGCAGGTAGTAGAGGTGGGGCAACACAATTAGGAGAAATCTAGGAAGAGGAAAGGTTCAATCTACAGTTAGCAGCCAGAGGCAGAGGAAGCAAGATGAGAATGCCTTGCTGAGTAACATACTAAGCCACATGGCTAAACATTGGTAAGAAGTTTGGGTTGGGGGGCTGGAGAGATGGCTCAGATGTTAAGAGCATTGCCTGCTCTTCCAAAGGTCCTGAGTTCAAGTCCCAGCAACCATATGGTGGCTCACAACGATCTATAATGGGGTCTGGTGCCCTCTTCTGGCCTGCAGGTATACACACAGACAGAATATTGTATACATAAAAAAAAAGTATGGGTTAATTTTAGTTGTGTGAGCTAGTAAATGATAAGCCTGAGATAATCAGCTAGCCAGTTTATAATTATAGTAAGCCTCTCTGTGTTTTGTTGGGACTGAACAGCTGTGGGACTGGGCAGGACAGAAACTTCCATCTATAAATGACATCCAATGTTTGGCAAGAATTTCCACATAAAACCTGAGAAAGCCTTAGAAATAAAGGATTATAGACAGACAAAAAAAGAGATTCAAGCACAGATTCTTGATAGCCGCATTGTCTCAGGTAGGCTCTGTTTGCTAGAGGAGAGCAGAGGCATAGCTATTTTAAGAAAGGCTTCCTGACTCAGCATTAGAAGAAACCTTGCAGCTGTTTTACGAGACCCTGCCACCAAACACTTTAATAGTGTTGATGAGCAGCCACCAGAATGCTTCTTGTTGGTGGCATGGAACTAGAAACTCCACAGAGTTATGGTTAAAAACACTAGACTTCTGTCAGTACCTCCACCATGAAGCTTGACTCTCAGGAAACCAAGGAATGAGGTAGATCCAGTCATCAAAGTAGCAGCTTTAATCCTAGCCATCTTGCTTGATAAATTAAGGACTTATGATGTCAGTAAAAGAGAGATACACAGTAAAGATAGTTTCAGATGATAAAAAAAAACTCTAAATGATTTACAGTGTGTTTAGAAATATGCATAGGCTTGGGAGAGGAAAGAAAAAGGATAGAGAAAGTCCTTCAAAAAAGCAATAGTGCTGTGGGACAATGGTCTTGTACCCTGTAAAGGTTTGTTACATGTACTGGTCTAATAAAATGCTGATTGGCCAATAGCCAGGCAGGAAGTAAGTCAGGAAAGGCTCAGACTGAAGTCATCACCCAGACACAGGAGAAGCAGGATGAGAATGCCTCATTAATAAAAGGGACCAAGTCATGTGGCTAACACAGACAAGAATTATGGGTTAATGTAAGATATAAGAGTTAATAAGAAGAGTGAGCTAATAGGCGAACTAGTTTATAATTAATGTAAGCCTCTGTGTGGTTTTTTGGGGGGACTGAATGTCTGTAGGACCAGGAAGGACACAATAGAGTAGTTGGGTATGGTGGTACATGACTTTAATCCCAGGACTTGGGAGGCAGAGGCAGGTTGAGCTCTGTGAGTTCCAGGACAGCCAAAGATACACAGAGAAAAACCTGTCTTAAAACACTGAAAATTAAAAATAAAAATAAAAGAAATAGAGCAAAAAAAAGAAGAAGCTATGTAAAGATGGAAAATACACAAAGAATCTGGATACTGTGTGCTATTGTGCTGTTTTTAAATTTTTTGACTGGTGAAGAAGGAACAACAGCTACTAAAAGACATTTAATTATAAATTTTGCTGAATTAATCCAGCCTATATATTTTGAAAATTTATAGACAAAAGATATGTTACTTTGAAGAAGAGATTTTGCTTTTGTTTACATAGGAAATGACAGGTTGTGGGTCCATTCTGTGTTAAGAAAAATCAGGTTTGATTGAGAAAGAACCCCTGAAGAATCTCCTATAGGAATTGATGAACATGGTGATCACAAGTTTCAGAACACCTCTGTTTCAGTTTCCTCTGAGTTCTACATCCAAAACAGCCTCAAGACTGCTATATGAGATAACCCTGCCTCACAAAATATTCCTGTGAGGACATTACCATTAATCTAATTTTTCTTTGGATCCCCATGATATCATCAGTGACCCTAATCAGCAGGAAATCGCATAAAAAACTACACCCACATTCCCCAAAAATGGATTATGGATATTTGTCTTTGTTGAGAATGTTGGTTATAAGTTGTTATGGATAATGGTCAAGAAAAAAATAAACAAAAAATTAGATTCAGAGCTCTTATTTTGAAAAGAAAAAAAGGGAATTGCTGTTAGATAATGCTCTTGTACCCTGTAAATATTTGTCACTTTTTTTAGTTTAATAAAACACTAATTGGCCAGTAGCCAGGCAGGATGGGCAACATAGCTAGGAGAATTCTGGGAAGAGGAAAGGCTCACTCTGCAATCAACAGCCAGACACAGAGGAAGCAACATAAGAATGACTCACTGGAGTAAGATACCAAGCCACCTGGACTAGGACTGATGGAGCATGTGATCAAACTGGACTCTCTGAATGTGGCTGACAATGAGGGCTGACTGAGAAGCCAAGGACAATGGCACTGGGTTTTTGATTCTACTGCATGTACTGGTTTTGTGGGAGCCTAGTCTGTTTGGATGCTCACCTTTCTAGACCTGGATGGAGTGGGGAGGACCTTGGACTTCCCACAGGGCAGGGAACCCTGACTGCTCTTTGAACCGGAGAGGGAGGGGGAGGGAATGGGGAGAGGGGAAGGGAAATGAGAGGAGGGGAGGAGGTGGAAATTTTTAATAAAAATTAAAAGAAAAATAATTTGAAACATTTAAGAACTTCAAAATAAAATAAGATACCAAGCCACATGTTAATGGGCCAGACAGTAAGACAGTAGTGACATACTCCTTTAACCTTAGCACTTGGGAGGCAGAGGCAGGCAGATCTCTGTGAGTTCAAGGACAGCATGGTCCACAAAAGCTAGTTTTAGGCCAGGCTCCAAAGCAAAACAAAAACAAACATAGACAAAAATTATTGGTTAATTTAAGTTGTAAGAGCTAGTTAATAATAAGCCTGAGGTAATAGACCAACCAGTTTATCATTAATATAAGTCTCTGTGTGTTTTATTGAGGTTGAATGGCTGTGGGACCAGGTAGGACAGAAACTCCTATCTACAAAGCACAAATATTTACAGTACATTATGAATTATATGATGAAATGATTTAAACTGGTAAATTGACAGAGGTTAAAAACTTAATCATTGCATGTCATAGAGTGCATTTGAAAGTCTCAAAAGTCATGGTTGCAGTGCCTCCTGATGTCATTCTGTCTGTTGTATGAATACTCTGCCTGAAATAGATGGAGACTGTGTTTTCTATTGGAACTAGTCATGTGATATGTTTTTGATGTATGATTTCCTTCTGTCCACTGTGAATACCTTTTGTTAATAAAGAAACTGTCTCAGTTCTCAAGGCAGAACTGAGGTAGGTGGGGGAAACTAAACTGAATGCTAAGAAAAAGAAGGCAGAGTCAAGGAGAAGCCATGTAGCCCTGCAACAGAAAGACGCTGGATGGAACTTTACCTGGTAAGCCACAGTCACATGACAATACACAGATTAATAGAAATGGGTTAAATTAAGATGTAAAAGTTAGCCAATAAGAAGCTAGAGCTAATGGGCCAAGCAGTGATTTAATTAATATAGTTTCTGGATGGTTATTTCTGAGCAGTTGGGAAACAAACAAGCACCCTCATACTAAAAATTGACCTGCCAACGTGGTTGAGTAAATCCATGTAAATCCTGAGAAAGAATTCTAGACACAAAAAAAAAAAAAAACAAAGTTAAGCATTTTCTCAGGTGGGCTCTGCTTGCTAGAAGCAAATAGATGCACGATTCTTTTATGAGAAGGTTTTCTGACTCAGCAGTAGTAGTTAAAACTGCAGTTTCAAAACAGCTGATTTGATTCCTGATTTGCCAGCACAAATAACTCTGACTCTTCCTGGAGGTCCGGCTACAGAGCATTTAAATGAGGTCTGTGAGCAGAGTGATACAACTTTCTTAATGGAGACATAGACCCACTGTATGCCTAAAAATTGGGCAATGTGCTTGACTCTCAGAGGCAACGAACATGCCTCAGGTATGTTGGACTGGGTGGAGCAAGCAGGCAGGGCGGTGTTGTCCCTAACCATGCCCACTTAGCATTTTAAAAAGAAGCAGCCATGGTCAGAAAAGGATTACAGATGCACAATAATGACAAATTCAGATGAAAAAGACCTCTAAATGTGTCACAGTAATGGGAAAATGTATGTAGGTTTGGGAGAAAGAAGAAAAAGAGTATAGAGAGTTATGAAAAGAAATAAATGGCTTTAAAAAAACAAAATAAAGTCTTTACAGAGTACTGACAGTCCTAGATTACAGAAGTAAAGACAATAAAATTAATATTAAGAAGTAATAGAACAAAAACAAATAAGCTACATAAAGATGGAATATACACAGAGAGTTGCTTATAATGCACTTCCTGTTTACTTAAGTAATATTATATCCTTCTGGAGTTTTTGATGGAGTTGGATAATATATAGTAATAGTTTTCCTTAGTTATGATAAAAGACAAAATAGATATAAATATTGTAACTATAATTCTTGCTTGATAACTGTTTTATGTAATTTTGCGATGTTAAAGTTAAAACCTTCCTTTTTATTAAACAGAAAAGAAGAGATAATGTGGAATTCCCTTCTGTACGCTGTGAATACCATTTGTTAATAAAGAAACTGTCTTAAGCCTGCACAAGGCAAAACTTAGGTAGGTTGGAAAAACTACTGAATGTTGGGAGAAAGATGGCAGAGTCAAGGAGAAGCCATTTAGCCCTGCCAGAGACAGACAGCAGATGGAACTTTACCAAGTAAGCCACAGCCACATCACAATACACAAATTAATAGAAATTGGTTAAATTAAGATGTAAAAGTTAGCCAATAAGGAGCTAGTGCTAATGGGCCAAGCAGTGATTTAATTACTATGGTTTCTATGTGGTCATTTTGGGTCTGAACTGCTGGGCGGTTGGGAAACAAACAAGAGTCTCGTACTACACTTTTTCTAGTTTGAATTCACCAACCACAACACACCAGCATAGAAATAACACTAAACGGAATGTGTAAGGATCCTTGGAGTCAACACATAATGCTCCAAGCCCAAGTTCGCAACCAAAAAGAAAATTATTTGCCCCAGAGGACAATTAGTAGGGAATAAGAGGAAAAGATAGGAAATAGAAAATGGAGGAGAAGGGGAAAGCAACAAGAAAGAAGATGATGTGGTTTTTGACCAGGGAGGACAGAGAACTGTCTCTGGATAGAGAGGATCAGTTTATAAAGATAAAGGGGAAATCCCATGTTAGGACAAATCATTTAATTTTGATTGGACAGGTTAATTATAACAACCACAAGGGAGTTTTTGCTAGCTGAAATTAAGCACTTTGATAGCTGGTCTTTTGGTCTTTGATAGTCAGCCTCACAGAAGGAAGTGGCCAAAAAGGGTATGTATATTGGTGACTAGGTTTAGGAATACAGTAGCCTTGTTCGGGTTTCTATTGCTATGAAGAGAAACCATGATCACACTAGTTCTTATAAAGGGAAACATTTAATTTGGTGTCTTACAGTTTAGAGGTTCAGTCTATTATCATCATGCTGGGACGTGCTGGTATGCAGACTGGAGAAGGAACTGAATATTTACATCTTTGATCCATAGGCAACAGACAGTAAACATCATAATTGAGACCTCAAAGTCTGTCTCCACTATGAGACTTCTTGTATTAAGACCACACCTATTTCAACAAGGTCACAGCTCCTAATAAGGCCAATTACTATCACTGTTCAAACTATCATTGTAATCTAAAGGATTTTAGCAAGGCAAATGAATTGGGGGAAACAGGGCTTGCTACAGTCATAATTGTCATCCTCTGGAAGGCTAGAGACCCTTCAGAATTAGTAAGCCATGTGAGTGTGTGTGTGTGTGTGTGTGTGTGTATTTACATGTATGTATGTGTAAAAGTAATATGAGAGTGATTTCATTTATATGGGGGATGTAGCAGGGTGAGAATGTGAGAAGAAAGTTATATAAATACAATTTTTTATCATTTTAATGCAAAATATATTAGATAAAATAGAATAAATGTCTTCAGTTTTGTCCCCATCTTGCAGTAGGGATGCTTTATCCCTGAGTCTTGTTCATAAGAAGCAGTAACCCCATCCTGAATGTAGAAACATCTGTATATACTTAGCATGAAAAGACTCTCCTTCTTGATTCCATCACCTTTAAGGACAGACAAATGCCTTCCTCTTTCCCTAATTTCCATCTCTGTTAGATCTCTGTGAATGTACTCAGGTATTTATCTAAGAAGCAAATACTCACTTGTCTTATTAGAAACTTCATTTTGTTGGCAGGGGCTGCACTCAAAACAGCAATCTGCCATTCCCTGCTGCCAGAATTTTCTGAATCCAGGACCACAATCAGCATTGCACACAGAGGGTGGCATCTGAAGAAAATCAGACACATGCTGGTATCAGGAGTTTTATCTACTCCTTCTATAACTATATCATATTAACATGTTGAAATATCAGTAAGTTTTTTACTTGCACCAAATGTGTAACCACATTAAACATAATGAGTTTTATAACACCAAGCATGTGAATGCATACAAACAAACTGATGTAAAGTTGAGTAGCTTCTCAATCCTAGAAATTTAGGAAGAAGAATGGGTGGTTATTTGCTGTGGGCAAACACCATGGAGCTTGCAAACTGCTTTTTTCTACTTAATTTTCATTACCTTAACAGAAAGTGCATTACAAAATTAGAGGGAACTTTAACTAGAATATTTCTCTCCATTGTTTTGGCCTACTGTCAAATTATTTAAGCATTTTATTAATGGGTAATTGATGTAGGACTGCCCAGCCCACTGTGGACAGTGCTGTTCCTTGGCAGGGCTGTATGAGAGCTCAAGCATAGATAGCCAGTAAGCAGTGTTCCTTCATGCTCTATGCTTTAGTTGCAGACTCCAGATTCCTGCCTTGTCATCCCTTTACTGTAACCTGTGAGCTAAATCAAACCTGCTCCTCAATTTGATTATGGTTAGTGTTTAATCACAGTGGCAGCACTGAAAGCTAGGATGAATGGAGACCTGAAACAGGGGCAATAGCTCTTCAAATCTCAGATAGCACACATGAACTCAAAAAATAGCACTGCAAAGCATGACAGAGTGTAAAGAGAAACAGAGCTACATAGGAAGAGAACTGTGCATGTGTGGTGAGGACGTGCTGAACTGATGTGTATTGAGCTGGAAGGTAGAGTGTTTCCTGATGTGAAACTGCTTTACAAAGACTGCAAATACTTGGGCCATCTGAATAAAGGTTAGATTATTTTAAAGTTAATTGGGGGATTTCTTAAATATTAAAATATATACCTTTGTATACTCAAAAACCTGGTGATAGAGCTCTATATGCTGCTTCAGATAGCTGCCAATGGTTGGGGTGCTCACTCTGCATACTTTGTTCAATATTGAGTTCTGTGTGAAAACCACATTGTCTCCTATGTGTGGGCTCCTTCATGTTCTCCCAGGTCCCTTCTGCATCCCTAGCCGCCAGCAGAGAGCTTGCTTTCTAGCTGTCAATCCACCCTGCCTCCAACCCGTCATTCCCTGAAAGCTCTGTGGAGACCAACACTTGGTGGACATTAGAGGTGAGTCAGCACTGGCCCTGGGACCCCAGACCACTCACACCCTAAAACCTCCACGTGGGAGAAAAGCCAGGGTGCCTCCGCCCCATGTCCTTTCAGCATCCCTAGCCAAAAGCAGAGAGCCGGAATCCACCCTGCCTCCAACCCGCCATTCCCTGAGAGCTCTGTGGAGATCAATACTTGGTGGACATTAGAGGAAGAGATGGGAAAGCGCCAACATAAGGATTCCTCCCACATCCTAAAAAGCAACAATGTAACACCAAAACCTAGCAGACACCCAAAAGGAAGACTTGATCATCGTAACCCAGAAGATGTAGAAAAAAATGACTTTAAACGGAACTTTACGAACATGATGGAGACCTTTAAAGAGAAAGTAAAAAACTTCCTTAAAGATATGGAGGAGAAGACAAACAGAAAGCTGGAAGAAATTAATAAATCCCTCAAAGAAACCCAAGAAAATCAAGAAAAAGCAATCAAACAGGTGAAGGAAATAGTTCAAGACTTGAAGGTTCACATAGAGTTAGTAAAGAAACCACAAACTGAGAGAACTCTGGAAATGGAAAATCTGGGTAAACGAACAGGAACTATAGAGACAAGTATAACCAACAAAACACAAGAGAAAGAAGAAGAATCTCAGGTGCTGAAGATACTATTGAGGAAGTAGACTCATTGGTCAAAGAAAACACTAAATCCAACAAATTCCTAACATAAAATATTCAGAAAATCTGGTACAACATGAAAAGACCAAACTTGAGAATAATAGGGGTAGAAAAGGGAGAAGAACTACAGCTCAAAGGCACAGAAAATATATTTAACAAAATTGTAGAAGAAAACTTTCCCAAACTAAAGAAGGATACCTCTATAAAGGTACAAGAAGTTTACAGAACAGCAAATAGACTGGATAAGAAAAACATGCCCTCACCATATAATAATCAAAACACAAAACATACAGAACAAAGAAAGAATATTAAGAGCTGCAAAGGAAAAACGTCAATGAACACATAAAGATAAACCTATCAGAATTAAACCTGACTTCTCAATGGAAACCATAAAAGTCAGAAGGTCCTGGATAGATGTGTTGCAGAAACTAAGAGACCATGGATGCAAGCCCAGTCTACTATACCCAGCAAAGTTTTCATTCACTATTGAAGGAGAAAACAAGATATTCAATGTCAAAAAAAAAATTTAAACAATATGTATCCACAAACCCAGCCTTACAGAAAGTACTAGAAGGAAAACCTCAACACAAGAAGCTAACTACACCCACAATAACACAGACATCTGATAAAAACGCACACAAGCATAACCCAAAGAGGGGAAAAAAACACTACTACCGAAAGATAACCAGAGTTAACAACCATGGTCAATAATATTGCTTAATATCAATGGTCTCAACTGACCTATAAAAAGACAGGCTAAGAGAATGGACACAAAAACAGGATCCAGCCTTCTGCTGTTTACAAGAAACACACCTCAAACTCAAAGACAGACACTACCTCAGAGGAAAGGGTTGGGAAAAGATTTTCCAATCAAATGGACCTAAGAAACAAGTGGGTGTGGCTATACTAATATCTAACAAAATTGACTTCAAACTAAAATCAATCAGAAGAGACGGTGAAGGACATTTTATACTCATAACAGGAACAAATCATCAAGATGAAGTCTCAGTCCTGAATATCTATGCCCCTAATACAAGAGCACCCACATATGTAAAAGAAACATTACTAGAATTCAAATCACACATCAAACCCCACACACTAATAGTAGAAGATTTCAATGCCACTCTTGACAATAGACAGATCAAACAGAAACTTAAGAGAAATAAGTTAGTTGTAATGAATCAAATGGAATTAACAGACATCTATAGAACATTCCACCCAAACAAAAAATAGTATACCTTCTTCTCAGCACCTCATGGAACTTTCTCTGAAATTGATCACATACTCGGTAACAATGCAAACATCCACAGATACAAAAAAAATGGAGTAATCCATTGTGTCTTATCAGATCACCATGGATTAAAGTTAGAATTCAACAACAATACTACTCCCAGAAAGCCTACAAACTCATGGAAACTGAACAGTCAACTACTGAACCACTCCTGGGTCAAGGAAGAAATAAAGAAAGAAATTAAAAGGTTTCTTGAATTCAGTGAAAATGAAGGCACAACATATCCAAACCTATGGGACACTATGAAAGCAGGGCTAAGAGGAAAGTTCATAGCAATAAGTGCCCACTTAAGAAAACAGAGAAAGCTCACATCAGTGAGCTAACAGCATGCCTGAAAGCTATAGAAAAAAGAAGCAGACTCACCCAGGAGAAGAAGAAGACAGAAAATAATCAAATTGAGGGCTGAAATCAACAAAATAGAAACACAGAAAATCATACAAAGAATCAATGAAACAAAGAATTGGTTCTTTGAGAAAATCAACAAGATTGACAAACCCTGATCCAAACTAATCAAAAGGCTGAGACAGAACATCCAAATTAACAAGATCAGAAATGAAAAGGAGACATAACAATGGACACTGAAGAAATTCAGAGAATCATTAGGTTCTACTACAAAAAACCTGTACTCCACAAAACTGGAAAATGTAAAAGAAATAGACAATTTTTTAGATAGATACCATCTACCAAAATTAAATCAAGACCAGGTGAGCAATTTAAATAGACCTATAAGCTGCAAGAAGCTGTCATCAAAAACCTCCCAATTAAAAAGGCCCAGGTCCGGATGGTGATTTTAGATTTTTTTTTTTCTGGTGTGGTATGGGTGAAAGAGACTAAGTTCTTTTTGTTAACCCTCAACCAGGAGACATTGACATTGGTTTTACATCCCCAGGCAGCACAATAAAATATTTTAGCCCCCCCCCCATACTGCAGAGTTTGCTTTTCCCCAGCGGACAAATATATCATTCAGAATATTTGTATACATGATAAAAGTTTCTGGGGTTTGCTCAGTATCCTCCCAAGAGAAATTTGCTAAAACACACAGGTCAAAAGTTAGCTGGGGGAACCAGGCATCCAGGGGATGAACTGCAGTGGCTAGCCTTAAGGCTGGCCCAGTCTCAAAGTTAGTCAGGGTCCAAGTTAAGTCCTGAGGTATAAACATCAAGGCAAAGATCAGCAAGCCTGGCAGAATCAGGCCTCCTTGAGAGGATTTTGGGTATGCTGAAGCTTTTATTTGGATAGTCCTGGGTCGTCCTGTGGAGGTGCAGGCTTGTGAGATGCAGGCAGGCTGTAATACCGTCCACTTTGAGGGCAGTAGGTGTAGGGTCCCTTCCAGCGAAGTCCAAGATTCTGAGACCGATGTCTCCGAATGTACACAGAATCGCCAACCTGGAACGGGTGTGAGATTTCCGGGTGCCAGGGATGGTGTTGGGAGGTGCTGGCAGAGAAGCAGGAAGAGTAGCTTAGTCCAGCGGACAGCAGCAGGGATAGCTAGGGCCCCTTTAGGGAGGGTCTAGTCCAGCTGGCAGCAGCAGGCTCTGGTCAGATAAATACCATTTTATGTCCCAGATCTTTCCCGACACCCATGGAGACAGTCCCGCTTCTCACCCCTGGGAGACAAGTGGGGGAGATGTCTGAACCCCCGTGTTTAAATATTTTTTCCAGGGGAAAATCTTTTGCCAGCCTCCAGGGGCAGCTGTGGGGGATATGTATCTCAGATATCCCAGGAGGCTAGCTCTGCCACTAGTTGACAGAAATCAGGGGTGAGGGCAGGGGTATCAAAGCAAGGGCTTGAGGAGGCATGGATTGCAGGTATGAGTGGGCAGCTGCTGTTCTGGCTGTGGGGTGCTGCAGCTTTCCTTATGTCCCTCCGGATATACCCCAGGTGTCAATTCTGGAACGAATACGAGATTTCCAGGTGTCAGGGTGGCCAGGGGTCTATATGCCTGGGTTCGGAGATCTGGAGAGCCTTCAACCGCGCCTGCAGATGGGGTTTGTGAGCAAATGGGTCATGAGGGGCCTTAGGAAACTAAGAGGGGAGGTCCCCCATATTGGATTTCATAGGGGGTTAGTCCAAGCTGAGACGGGGTGTTTCGTACACAGAACAGGGCTAGGGGAAGGAGCTGTACCCAGTCTCTAGTGCCAGATTCCAAAGGCTAATTTGGTAAGGGTCTTTATTTATCCTTTTTACCTGTCCTGAACTCTGGGGTCTGAATGCACAATGTAATTTTCCCCAGTCTTACCTATGTCCTAACTTTTCTGAGCAATAAGGCAGTTTTACCATCAATTCCGATTACACTGAGCAGGCCAAACCTCGAGAAGATTTCTTTTTTGATCTTCTTAGTCCAGGTAAGAAAAAGCTTCTCTGCCATCCGGCCAATGTACCTTTAAGTAGGCTGCTCAGGTCATTCACCATTGCTGCCCTGCCTTCTTACCAGCATGCGCCACCAAAACTGGCTCTGCTTGGGCATTGCTGTACCCCAAGCTTTCCACAGCTGCTGTCTGGGAGCTGGAGGCAGTTCTCTGTGAAACTTGCAAGCAGCTTGGGAAGGCTGTTTGGAATTGGGCTCGGGCACCTCCGGGGCCCCTCCTCACTTCAGTCAGTTGCTACCTGCTGGGGCAGGTAGCTGTAAGCAGAGTTCCCAAGCTTGGGCTGTGACCAAAGGCAGCTGGGAGGAAGATTCAGCTGGCAGTGGCTGCAAAGCCTTCCTCAGCGAGGTGGGCATGGCAAAGGCCTGCTTTTTTTTTTTACAGCCCTGGAGAACAGTAGGGGAAGTCAAAGTCTCCAACAGGTCTTTTTCTAATAAAAGCATGGGACACTCAGGAATAATCAGCAGTCCTTGTGTCCATAGTCAAATGCTTTAGATATAACAAGGGGGAAACCCTTTCCTTTTTTCTCCGTACACCCCAGAATCGAACACCTGGGTGCACAGCATAAGCAAGGGGGGGGGTGGGATTTCAGTACTATCACTGTGGCTGCTGCGTTGGCCTCTCAGGTGGGCAGAGTGCCGCTTCAGGAGCCGGCTGCAGGGAGCCAGAAAGAATCGCCATTACAAGATGGCGCTGACGTCCTGTCTTGTTGGAAATAAACAACTCCATATATGGCTATGCCTTTGGGAGCTGCATTTCCCCCACTTCCCGCATGCGTGGTGGTTTAGGGCCCTTGGGCCTATCCCGATGCAGTCTGGTGTCAGCTGATGGTGGCAACCAATCACAGGGCGACCCATGTGCCTACTCCCTATATAAGCAGCTGCTTTAGTGCTCTGGGGGGGTGGGGCTCGCTTCCTGCTCTCCCTCAACCAAGAGGCACTCCAATAAAGTGTGATCTGATAAGAATCCTCTTGTGGTGGTCGTTCTTCCTCGCTGGTCGAGAAGTTCGCTGCAGCCGGCTGTGCTCGGTGCCATTCTCTGACCCGCTTCTGCTCAGCAGCTGCTTTGGGAAGTGTCTCGAGCCCAAAGTCCTGTAGGGCCACTCCTCCTCACTGAAGTCCGCATTTGGACACTCAGGGGCTGCTCTGTCTGAGGTGCGCACTCTCTGCAGCTGTCATCTTCTGTTGTTTCCCTGTCTAATTTTTTTTCTTTACTAAGTCCTGGAGGGAGCATCTCTGCAGTCCCACCGTTCTCTACAACTTGCTACAAATATCTGATGCTGACTGGCCTATAAAAGACATCACTACATTTGCTTGGCGATCTGCTGCCATGGGATCAAAAGGGGTTTACATCCTGTACCCCTCCAATAGTCTTTCTAAAAATCCTGTAGGAGTACTATCAGACCTTTGTACTATTGCTCTTACCTTAGCCAAATTAGCAAATTAGTGGGGTGCTTTGCAACCCCCCTCCTTTTTTTTAGACCTGCCAACTGGACTCTGGCAATAAAGATGGAGCTGCTCCCTACCAGCTGGAGTATTGAAGTCCCATCCTCTATCTTGTCCGGTGATTGGGTTGGCCTGCTGTCAGATCCTGGGACATTCTTTTTTCCTCTGTGGTTAGGAGCACCTGTAAGAGCTGCTGGCAGTCATCCCAAGTGGGCTGATGAATAACCAGAGCAGATTCTATAAGCCTGGTCACGGCCTGAGGGTCCCGAGAAAAGGAAGGGTTGTAAGTAAAGATTAGAAGCAGAAAAAGGCAGTATTGTAATTGGCCTGCTACTGAGCGAAGGGGAAATGCTTGGGAAGTCACTCTCATTCTTCCCCTGTCCCAGCGTAGATGCTGAGTACTGAAGTTAGTGCTTCCTCGGGGGGAGGAGGAGGGAGAAGTCTGTCATGGTCGGCTGGATATCAGGAAGAACCAGAGGTGCCTGGATTCTGGGTTTCTTTTGCTCCTGTATGATGGAGGAAGGTCATTGGCTAATAAAGGAACTGCCCTGGCCCATTTTATTGGTTAGAGGATAGGTGGGAGGAGTAAACAGAACAGAATGCTGTGAGGAAGAGGAAGTGAGGTTAGAGACTCCACCGCTCTGCTCTCGGGAGCAGACGCCTCAGGGAGACGCCATACTCCCAGCTCCCAGGCAGACACACGCCATGAAGCTCGACCCAGGATGGACTAGGCTAGAATCTTCCCGGTAAGACCGGTGCTCACCGATTATTAGAGATGGGTTGATCGGGATATCAGAATTAGCCAGTAAGGGCTAGGGCAGAAGGGCCAAGCAGTGATTAAATGAATACAGTGTCCGTGTAATTATTTCGGGGCATAAGCTAGCCGCCAAGCAGGCAGCCGGGGTGCTGGGGATGCAGCCCCGCTGCCCTTACTACTTCACCTGTACAGGAAAGAGAGAAGACAAAGGGCTTGGGGAGGAGCAGCCATCACCTCCTCCAGCAGTGGGCTGCTTTCGAAATCAGGGAAACATGATGGCCAGGGGGGCGGTGCCAGGTTCTGAATTCCTGCAGGTGTATTTTAACAAAGACAAACCGACATACAAAAACAAAAAATACGAAGAGACAGACATAAACTCAAAACCAGAAGCTGGTGCTCTCACCACCACTCTGGTGTAGAACTGAAAATACACAAGAACAAAAAGACAGACATAGACTCAAAATCAGAAGCCACGCAGCAGCAGATCCAAAAATACAGATGGAGGATCACATCTCCCCTGGAGATTAGGGTGACCTGGTCGCCCCTTACTCCCATAAATGCCCATGAAATGTCTTTCAGGGCTAGGGCAAGGGATCTCAGGACACGTCTGCCTCCTCCCTTAGCCTCGTTTCAATACAGACCCTGCACAAGTACAATTCTCAGATTACTGATTTACAATTACACAGAAACAGAAACACAATACACAAACAGACAGACATAAAAATGAGCTCGTTTCTTTATACCTCCAACTGGGTCTAGACTGTGTCTGGGAGCGACTTGATTCCCGGTCAGGGAACCAAATGTTTGGACTCTAGCATCCAAACACCAAGAAGGAGTCGCCCCCAGAGACAATCTCACACACCACAGCCAATGTAAAAGCATGAGGATTTTATTAATTCTGTCATGACAGGGTCCCTCAGCATTCAGGAAGCCAAGAGACCTTGAATAGCTGGTACAGTCTACTTTTAAAGGGGCCACAGAAGCAAGGGGAGTTGTTCTTTGACTATTCTGATTGGCTTATTTGAAAGGCTATTACCAATAATTGACTGGAGAGCTGTTGCCAGATCAGATGAGGTAAGAGGTCATTTTGACCCCTTTTCCCAGGGGACAGAACCAAAACATACATTGATGGAGGAAGGTCATTGGCTAATAAAGGAACTGCCTTGGCCCATTTTATTGGTTAGAGGATAGGTGGGAGGAGTAAACAGAACAGAACGCTGGGAGGAAGAGGAAGTGAGCTCAGACTCGACAGCTCTCCTCTCGGGAGCAGATGCCTCAGAAGAGACGCTATGCTCCTGGCTCCTGGGCAGACGCACGCTATGAAGCTCCAACCCAGGATGGACATAGGCTAGAATCTTCCTGGTAAGCGCACCTAGGGGCACAACACAGATGATTAGAAATGGGCTAAATTAATATCTGAGAATTAGCCTAGAAGAGAATGGGCCAAGCAGTGTTTAAATGAATACAGTTTGTGTGTTGTTATTTCGGGCATAAGCTAGCCGTGCGGGCGGCTGGGGTGCTGGGGACGCAGCCCCACCGCCCTTATTACTACATATGGCACCCAACGTGGGGCTGCTGCTTCCACATAAAGCCTGAGACAGCTTGGGAAGTAATTCTAGAACAAAATGAAAGCATTGTGCCTGGTTTCTTGGTAGCAGAGGATGGTTGTCCCGCTCCCAGGATGAAGACCCGCCGCCCTTATTACTACAGATTGGCGCCCCACGTGATGGACTAAACCCACTTAAAAAACCTGAGAAGGCTTAAAAATAAGGGAGAGAGAGTTTAACACAGATTTTTGCTGTTTGTTGGTGGCGTGCTGTAGAGAGATTTTCTGATTCGGCAACAGTAGCAGAAAAAACGCTGTCATTTTAAAGCGCGACTTCCTGGGGCTGTGCCACCATTGCGATCTCTGTCTGGCTCCTGCGGGAGACAGAGCTTTTGAATAGAGCATTTGGAGTAAAGTGCTATGATTTGTTTGATGGCAACTAGACTCGCTGTGTTCTCAGGTCTGCTCTGCTTGCTAGAGGCAAGCAAGCGCCTCATCTAAGAGAGGCTTCCTGACTCAGCTTTAGCTGCAAAGCCTGCAGCTCATTAAGGGGTCCTGCCACAAAACACTTAAATGGTGTTGATGAAAAGCTGAACGCATGCTTTTCGGTTTTCAGCCGTAGCAAAAAAAAAAAAAAAAAAAAAAAAAAACCTGCGCCGTTTAAAAATGCCAGCTTTCTGGGCTGTCCTGCCAGGACAAACTCTGACTCTTTTATGCAGGCGGTTCGTGCGGTTTGCAAGCAAAGGCTGCTGAAGCTCGCTTGCTGGCAGGGACCTTGAAATGCCATACAGTTGTGGCAGTAAACATGGCTACAGCCTGTATATCTGCCATGAGGCTGGAAAGCTAAGGAATGGACTGGATCCAGCTGGCAAAGCCACGCCTTTAGTCCTACTGAGACTGCTTGGTAAATTAAAGATTCATGTGGTCAGAAAAAGAGAGATATACAGTAAAGAGAGATTAAAAGACAAAGAAAATTTCTAAATGGTTTGAAGTGTGTTAAAAATATATGCAGACTAAAATTTAAAGTTCTTAAAGTAACAAAAAAAAGGAAGAGAGTTGTTGTGTGTGGTACACACCTTTAATCCCAACACTTGGTAGGCAGAGAGAGATAGACCTCTGTGACTTCAAGGTGTGGTAGCACACGCCTTTAATCCCAATGCCTGGGAGGCAGAGACAGGCGGATCTCTGAGAGTTCAAAGACAGCCTGGTCTACAGAGTTACTTCAGGTCAAAGATACAGAGAACCTGTCTCAAAAAGCAAAGAGTTAAAAGTAAAAATAAACAAAATAAAGGTTAAAACAAAGCTGCACAAAGATGGAAAATAGACAGAGAATTTTGATACTGTATGCTATTATGCTCTCTTTAAATTATTTAAATGCTGAGGAAGGAGCAACAGATGATAAAAGATATTTGTTTATAAATGCTGCTGAACTAATCCAACATAGATATTTTGATGCCTTGACTTTGAAATTTGGATCTAAGGACATGATGCTTTGGAAAGGAGTTTCTTATTTTGTTTTCACAGAGGATGAGACCCTGTTCATTTCTTCTATTCCAATTTGGTATGATGGACCACGTCCTCCTGAAGAGTTGGTGTGAACACCTTCAGAAAATTGCTTCGCTCAACTGTCAACTGAGATGAAACTAGCGCACAGGTTATACCATGAAAGACCTAATTAACGACGCCCCCATTCAGCAGGAAGCAGTTTGGAGAGAAAAAACTGCGCCCATGTTCCCAAATATGGTTTATAAACGTTCTTTAACATTTAAAGGGGGATATGATATAGATATGAATAATTTACATTAGTATAGATTTTGCTTTATTGATAGAGATTTAAGGCCAATTTTGTTATATGTATAAGTGTTTCTGATTTTGATTAAGGTATTGTGATTGTGTAGTTCATTTAAATATGTACTGTATAATTAAGAAATATAGGTTGTTAATGGATAATCATTGATAATAGTAAAGCTTGTAGTCATGTTAGTTAGATTTTTTAGATATATAGAGATATATTTTAGATAGACATGTCTTTTAAAGATTACAGAATAGGACATTTAATGTTTTAATAACTGAGGACTTTTCATGACAATGAGACACTCTGCTCCTGGCAGCACCAATCTACTTCAAGAGGAAGATGGGCATCAAAGAGGATCCTTATGGAGTTTGATAGCCATTTGGGCAAGAAACTGCTCTTGCCTGGACTATTGCATAAACTAGAAACAGAGAACCCGCAGAGAGAAGACTACTGAACTTGCCTAAAGGTGAGATGATCTTTCAGGGTTCCTGA